CGGGGGGCAGGGGAGGGGGCCGCGCCTCTGACTTAATGCTGGAACCATCCACGTCACGTGCGGCCCCGCGCGGGTTAACCCCTCGGAGCCCGGGAGCCCCCTGATTCACCCCAGGCCGCGTATCAGAGGCGGTTCGAGCAGAGGGAGGAAACCACCTTTTCTCGACGGCAGGGTCCCTTTTGTCTGCCCATCTTGGTGAGTCCCTTGCTCAGAGCAGCACCCTTGGGCCTGACATCCAGCCTGGAGGTTCTCGCCCCTAGAGGCGTGAGGCACGCCCAACAAACACTCTTAGGCCTGGTCTCCCGACATAGCCTGGGCTAAGGGCGGGGTGGGGGAGGGGCTGGGCTGGGCCTTTACCTAACTCTTGGCTGGGAGCTGGAAAAACGTTGCCTCTGCAAAAACACCTCCCTTGCAGATCCCTCGTTCCTCACTGGGACAGGAGTCCTTGGGAAGAGGTGTGTGGGAAGAGGTGTGTGGAAACAGCTCTAATCCGGGAATGGGGGCTGGGAAGTTTGGGCCTGGGCACTATCATTAATTAGCTGTGGGACCTTGAACTGTCACTGGTGTCTTCATCTGACTCTGGAGTCTGGACCAAGGCAATCCTTGGAGCCTTTCTGTGTATTCCTGGTGGGTTTGAGAAGCAGAGGCAGAACCAGAAGGTTCAGGGAGACTTGCAGGGACAGCTCAGGACTGAACAGGGTCCGGCAGAGGCTGTCTTTGGAGCAGGTGGAGGGATACATAGAGGGTTTGAGGTTTGAACAGCAGGTGTGGAGTGAATACCTTTCAAATGATCTGGGAGTGCATGGGGATCCACTGGAGAGAGGCTGGCTGCAGCCCAGACCTCAGGGCTCTGCTGCCCCAGGCCTGCTATTTTGCAGGGAGATGAGGGTAGGGTGGCATCTCCTAGGAGTTGACTCTCCCCAGCCAAAAGGAAGCATAGGACTAGGGAGGTGGCTTGGAATTTCTGAGAAGAGAAACAGCCCCCACCCTAAGATCCGGGAAGAAATTCCTGAGTGCCCTGGGACCCTGCTCCCTTCTGTGGATTGAGGAGTCCCCAAGTCTGGGTTACACTGCTTTTTATTTTCAGTGCCTCCAGAGACTAGTGAGAGGGATGGGGAGTCAAACATCATTTGTATTTCATTTGAATTCTCAATTTTTAAAGGAATCCAAGAGGCCTGGTGTGAACACCTCCCTCTTCCGCTGGGGGCTTAGAGGGGGTTTCTTGGCTGTCCTCAGCCAGAGTTGGGCTGTAAATCAAGGCCAAACAGGAACCAGAAGCCTTGCATCTCACAAGTAGTCATTAAGCCATTATTAAACATACCGTAATTTCTCTGAAGCCTTATTGGTTTAAACACCACATTGGAGGTATTATGGCCATTAGGGCCCCTAATCACAGACTGCAGACTGGGCTAGTGAGGTGGGAGCACCTGGGGCTGGGATTTCCAGCCAAGAGGGAGGTTCAGCTCAGAATTAAGCTTTCCTCTCTGGCCTCATGGTGGGGAGGGGGGGGATCCATTCTCTAGGATCCAGTGGATCGCAGCTCTGGGCAATCAGTTTGCAATGATCCCTTTTGCTCATTAGTAAGGTTTTTTTTATAGTTATTGGGCTAAGGCTGTGGATATTGTTGACTCTTCAGGAGGATGTCAATGTCAACTCAGGACGCCGCTTCTGTTCCACAAAGGAATCGGGCAGCTTACTGTGAGAGATGCACGGAGGATGCAGGAAAAACATCACCAACGGTTTAAACAAGGCAGCCGGGCTTAAATGCCAAGTGTTTTGCCTCAGGTGATAAGTCTTTCTCAGCCTCAGTGTCCTCATCGTAAAAATGGGCTGTGCACGCGGACAAAGGATGTTGGAGAAGCACTTATGTTTTGATGGATGTGATGTACTGTGTTAGTTCATGAGATTATTATTACTGTTATGGTATCCAGAGATGGCAATTGGCAGAAAGTTCCTGACTCCGGGGACTGAATGGGCTAGAGGCTGGGGCTGATCAGAGAGACCTAGGGACCAACCCATAGCCCTGCCCAAGCCCAGAAGCTCCTCCTGCCATTCCTCACTCTCTGACCAGAACCAGTTTCCATGCTGTCAGTTGAACTGAGGCTGGAGAAAACCCCAGCTTACATTCAGATCGGATGGATAGATAGAGTTGCCCTCTGGGTGGCTTTTTTCCCAGGATAATGCGACACAGGGTACGCTTTCCTGTTTCCCTTTTAAACCACTAGTGCAAACTCTTTATCTGTATGGGATATGGGGAGAGTTTGATGGGGCAGAGGTGTGTAGAAAACACACAAATTGGCACTCTTAGGTTGTCCAGGTTTTCCCTTAGGAGAGCTGAGAGATCCCGGAGTACCACAGGGCCCTCATTTTACAGATAAAAACAACAGCTAATACTTCTTACAGTGTACCAGCCACTATCTAACGTATCCTATAGACAAGAGTTTATTTAATCCTCCCAACTCCACGAAGTAGGCACAACTATTATCCCCACTTTATAGAGAAGAGAGTGAGGCCACAGAAGGGAGCCATTCGTCCACGGTGGACACGGCCACGTCGTGGCAGAACCAGAATTTATGCCCAGATCCGTGGTTCCCCGCCTGACACTGAGCGTCCTTCAGTCCTTCTTCTTCGGCTAACTTGACAAAGCTGAAATCATCCAACGCACGCCCTCGTGTTCCCAGAGGAAGGTTGGGACTTCTCCCTGAAAAGGAAGTTGAGGCCAAAGTGGACTAGGGCCAGAGGTGGTCCAAGGTGGAGCCACACTGCTGCACTCCTGATGGCGGAGTGGCAGTTTATTTATTTTATTTTTATTTTT